TATTTAAGGAATTTATCTATTTTTATCTACTTTGTCTATCCCCAAGAGATTTTTTGTTTTGGTGTCATATCTCTCAATTTTGGAGTATCTGAACTTTAAACATTCTCTTTCATTGATACAATCTTAATAATCGATTTTATAAAAGTTATTTAGTCTATATGCTAGTTTATTAATAATTTCATATAAATTTACTTTACCAAATAATTAAAAGTTAATTTAAATAAATACAATTTAAATAAACTCAAAAATCATTAAGGCATAATCTCAACCCAAAATTAATACACAAGTAGTATGACTTTGCTTCTTGACAATAAGTCCTCGGATTTACTGGACAGATGTGATTAATATAAGGAGCTTCTTACGATTGTGTTGCTGTCAACAGCAGTAACTAGAAGAACTTGCTGTCCGACCACATAGTTTTCACTGATTGTTCTAATAAACGGAGCATTGTTGAACACTGGGGCGTTTTTATCTTCACTGATGCTGATGGTAACAGTTGTATTAGAACACTTGTATGGTACACCATCGTCACAAGCTTGAACTGTCAACTAAAGAGAAAATACACGTACTGTAAATAATTTTAAATTCGTGAGAATTTATTCGCGTAATTACTCTGTACGGTTCCTCGCAGAAGTTTCATTCTCGTGGATAATTTTGTTATCATAGGATTTTACAGCTGCTGACAACAACATCTATGGTTTTCATGTTAAACGAAACAAAAATAAATATATTTTAGATTGATCACTGTCGATATCAATCTTTTTCATATTAATTTATTTTCAAATTAAGTGAAAAGTGAATCTGATCTCATCATTGAGCCTACAGTTTAAATAGTATGGTTACATGCAGATTAATTTAACTGATAGGATCAGCAATATTTACTTTTTAGGTCCATAATTCAAATGTTCATATCATGAATTAAGCGAGTATTTCTTTTCAAAAAGGGTCTCGATAATTAAATTTCATATGTAATGATTTACAATTTATGTACATACAATAAATCTGGTAAATAAAGTGTTCATGAGATTCTTCTTCAGGTAAATCATGCCCGTGTCTGTGTCAATGTAGAAGTTATGAGATGCTCCAATGCTGAGTGATTTCTCATCAATTTCATTCACAATATCATATCTGAGTTTGTCCTAGAAGAAAGCAACAAAAATATATCCAGGTTAAAGGATATATCATACAAACAAGAAAATTAATGTCTGGATTGGAATATATTTTTTACCTATTTTGGTTGTACATGATTAGAACAAAAAAATCAAAATATTAAGAAATTGTAAACTTTCTATGATATGTTCGAAATTCCATTTTTTGCAACCACCCTTATATTAATCTAAACAAATTTTTGTCACTTTAAATCCAATAACTGAGAATTTTTCATAGAAAAATGAAAATCTATGTAGTTAATCTTATTTATTTTACTTATATAAATATGACTTAAGTTGAAATTTTCAATATTTTTGATAACAATTTGTTTGTATCCTTAAGCTCAGAAAATGATACTAGTATATCAGATAAAGAAGCTGAAATTCACTTTCGTATGGAAACACAAACAGGCCAGGGTGAATCTTTAACAATATGTCATGCCTTCTTTGATTTGATACTGCATTTAACAAAACTCCCCAGAAAAAAAATTAAAGAAATTTTATTTTGCTATCATAATGCCCACCTCTTGATCTTGATCTGTGGCAGTTACTTGAACAATGCTTGAGAATGGTGGATGGTCTTTCTGATAGTGGCTGCATACGCAGGCAGTGCCCAGGTGGGGGTGCTGGGGTTCCTGATCACTAGAATAGTTACAGTGGCAGAGGCCCTCCTATTAGGACGGAAGGAATCATATGCTTCTACCGTTAGCTGAAATTAAAAAATCAATGTTCTTCAATGCATTTATTGTAAAACTGGAAGTATTTACTTTAATCATTCTATGCTCGAGAAAACACAATGAACAAAAAACACAAGAGATATTTTTTAATACTCTCACTTTATATTTTGACTCAGATCTGACAGCTTCAAACTGTAGGTCCTTGGCAATAGTAACCACACCGTTTGTTGGATGAACTGAAAACAGACTGGGAGCAGGGTAGACACCTGTCACTTCATAAGTAACAACTCCCTGTAAGTAAATAATTGTCATAAAAATATAATTTTTATTGGAGTCGTGAGGTAAGGAGTGCAGCATGAATCCTCTGCAGCTTCGTCATTAACCTAAGAAGATTTTCTTATGTATTTTCACTTACAAAAGTTTAAACCTTTATATCATCAAACTGTCATAAAAATACGAACCACCCGATCAGCATCAGTTGCAGAAAGTGCAGCGACTGATGTCCTAATGGCAGTATTCTCTGATAAAGTGACAGTTTGGTTCCCAACAGAGAACTGAGGTGAGGAGCGGTCTCGATACACTGAAATGATCACTTGAACTGCAGTTTTCTTTTCAGGGTTACTGTTGTCATATGCGGAAACCGTTGCCTGAAGAACGATATAAATATTAAATTTAATGCTGAATTGTCTTTACTTCTTAAAATAGATTGAAAATACCAACCTCTTGCGACTTATTTTCCAAGATATAAAATAGCTTCTGGTGTAAAATTCATTACAGATATACTGGTAAAATAAACATTTTTTGCTTACTTTAAAAGCTTTATTTACATATCATTTGCTTACGTTTACGTGATTTTTGAGGATATTAAAGTTTGTTCATCTTACTTTGTAAATCGACTGTGTATCAGTGGTTAAGTCAGCCTGTACGGTGATGATACCAGTGTTAGGATTCAAGGAGAAAAGCCGAGTGAACGGAACTGGATTAGCTCCATCATATCCATACGTTATTCTGTCCTGTGTGCAGAAACAAAATTAAAAAAAATCACTATGAGAGCACTTAAGTGATCAAGAAATGCAGGAATCATTTGTATATCCTTCTCCAAATGTACTAAATTGATTTCATCTAATACTTTACCTCAGTGTCTTTGTCTGTAGCTTTGAGCTGTAAAACTATCACATTAATGGCAATGTTTTCACTGATGTTGGCAGTGTACTGGAATTTGTCAAACTGTGGTGCATTTTCATTGCGGATAATTTTGATTGTCACATTTGTCGTAACTCTGTCTGTAGGAAAGGCAACATCATAAGCCTGAACTTGAAGCTGTAAAAATGCTTTTGATCTTGAGTAAATAACTCACAACAAAAAAATGTATTAATAATTAAGATTTAGAATATTTTAATTAACCTACATTTATTTAACATGTTTAACATACAGATATATTGAAGGTACTCATTAGAAACTGACAATATAGTCGAAGATGTTCTTTTCAAATCTAAGGTTGTTCTGAACATATATGGACCCATTAACTTTTGATAGATGGAAAAAGCATGTTGCTGAGCCAAATCCGGTTGCTTCATATCTAAGGGAACTTGAAGACTAAAATAAAGAATATGAAAAAATGAGATTAAGATTGAATGAAACAATTCATTCTTTACAAAAAAGCAACGTTTCACAATAATAATGAAATTATTTCAATAATCGATTTCCCACCATCTGATTCTATTGAATAAACAAACAAGATGTGTTTGTGAAACACTTATGCCCCCTGTGTGGCAGCTTAGTGCGAGGGTTGAATTCTCTCAAGAGCATGTCAAACTCCAAAGGGCAAGGTCAAGGTTCAAAAAGTGTTGGTATTCAAAGGAAGTTCTTGTTGTATGGAATACACCTGTGATATATGAAAGCCTAATTCTAACTACTCAATAGTTATGACCAAGGTTAAAGTTTTTAAAAAGTGGGTTAAACTTTTAGGTCAAGATCAAAAAGTCAAAAATATTTATACCAGTTGATAGGTTTTGTCACAATAAATACACAGGTGAAGTATGAAAGCCCTAGCTCTAACTGTTCAAAAGTTATTACCAGATTAAAGTGTGGTATTTCTTTGTAAAAGCAGGTCAAACTCCAAGGTCAAGAGGTCAATTTGGTGGTAGCCACCAGTTACGGACTAGGTTAAAGTTGACAAGAGATAGACAAGCAGATAGACAGGATAAAAACTATATATATATATATATATATATATATATATATATATATATATATATATATATATATATATATATATATATTTATTTATTTATTTATTTATTTATTTATTTATATATACACCCTGGATCTTTCGATCCGGGAGCATAAAAATAGCAATCAACTAAGCAAATTGTCATGTAAACATACCCCAGGTGAGGCTATTAGTGTAGTTACCGATGTACCAACTGGAGTCTTCTCACTAATAGTAACATTGTAACTATTGGCTGAGAAAGTAAGCATTCCACTGTCTTTCAGTTCATCAATATGCTCTGCAGCAGACGCAACCTCTCGTGGCTTTCTTATTTGATCTCTGGCTTTAACTTTCAGCTTCAGCCCAACAGAAAGAAATTGACAAGCTATGAATTAAGAGATACATGTATATAAATACTATTTATAAAATATAAATAGTATTTTCAAATCATGATAAATGCTATGATTTCAATTTTTTGATCGACAACATCCTTACATTAAATAGCAATATACCCTTATCACCTGTATATGGATCGTTTCGAATATGTGTTTTCTCCAAATAAAAGTATAGACAAACCTCATCGACTGAAGCAGAATAAGGAGCCTTTCCAAATATAGGTGCATTATCGTTTATATCTCGAATCTCCAGCTGCATCAGGAAAAACTTCGTTTGTGTTGGGTCTTTCTGAAATTAATAGTGTAAAAATTAGGAAATATGTTTTTTTTTATATTTAGCTAGGAGGCCTACATTTTTTCTTAAATATATAAACTAATATTCAGCCATTCTAGTCTTCTAAAGAACTGAATGGACAAGCTTTAACATCAAATGACGAGCGTTTTTGTTTGGCAAATGGAGTCTGAGATGAGAGGAGAAGTTGTCAATGAGATAACATATTACCTGCAAGAACTTGGAATTACACAGGGCAATATTCAAGCCTAATCACTAAATACTCGTATAATCAAGTTATAAGTAACATATAAAGTAAGAATTTAAAACAAGATATACACATATGAAAAAAATAATTTCAATAAATATAAATTATCTAGACATAAAAAGGCTAAAACTTAAGCAGAAAACCATCATCCTTATGTTACAACTAATGAAATAATTTATTGCTTGATGAAATAATTCAATATTAAGTTTGAAACTTTTTTAAACACATAAATGGCAATTATCCCTTCTTCTGCATTATACATAAAAAATCCATTTTATCTACACCCTAAAAAATTTGCTATCATTTTTAATAAACATGCACAAAAGTTTTGAATATGCATGCAAGTTTAACAAACAATTATACAATTATTGCATCATTGCATACAGTGTACATGCAGATCCTTAAATTTATTTCTAAGGATGTTCATATTTCGATGGCAATTTTTATGGTCAGATCTGTAAAGTACTTACCAGTGTCCGACAAGATAATTGAAATTCCATGGAAAAGAGGTCATCACTTTGGATAAAGGAACTCCCCTTCATTGTGAGAAAAAGCGAAAAATATCAATTACTAGTAATTAGATACAACTGAAAGTCTTAACAGATATTAGCCTTTTATGTCGGAGGAGTAAAAAATCTTTTTTTTTGGTGGTTTATTATTTCATTAAAATCTATTAAGAAGTCTCATCTTAAAGATAAGTACATATACTTGATTATGATTGAAAATTTCATTCCAAAGAATCTTACATCCCTTTTAAGTGCCGATTTCAACCAAAAAAGTCCACTTCCAAAGGGTGAATCTGATACTGGTAAAGTTATCAATTCAAACAGATTATTCAAATTCAGATCATTAGGAGTGGCTTGTGATCGGACAAATGTTATGTTGACTCCTGATGCTGTTTGAGTTCCCTGATATACTCCTTCTATCGTTGTGTCTGTTCTATAGAGTGGCGAGTTTGGGTTAAAAACAGCAACTGTGGGGGATTTAAAAACTCTTCCAGCAATATTAGAATTTGGTGCACTACATGCTGCAAATAAACTATAATTTTGGAATACTAAGATACTACATTTAAGATTTTTATAGATTATCGAAAATATGTGTTTAGTTAGATATTGAATAGAATCATGAGTAAACATCTTACGTTTTGTGAATCCACTGTATATATGTTAACAGTCAGCAAAAAAGTTGTAAATCGAAAACATAAATCATAGCGACTCCACATCTGGACTTTTTAGAAGAAAAACGCCCTTTTTAAACAAAAGAAGCAAAATACGAATACTTTTTTCTATTTTAAAAATCCTTGATCATTACCCCAGAAATGCGTATAGTTTTCTTTCACGAAAAATGCAGAAGTTCGGAAAAGAATCGCACGGTCCAGAGACTTTAAATTAATGCAAACAATATCTAAAAGAAAAAAAATAACCCATTATAAATTATAAACATCTATCATCTAGTACCTTTATTTTTATAATTTTGATAGCTACTAGTAATTACATGAATATAAAATTATAAACATCATAAAACAAGAACTTACCTTTAATTATACAGTACGACAGAACACTGAAGAAAGGGAAATTTTATTTCCCGTTTTATCCAGGCCATAATTAAGGAGCATACGGGTGCTTTAGGCATTTTTCCCTAGGTTTAAATCTATCGATGCAGACCGAGGTGAAAGAGTCTATAATTGGTTTATTATATAGACCAATTTGAATAAATAAGTCATTGAACGCTTCATGACGACACCTTTTCATTTTACATTCCGTCATTAGTTTAAATCAAAGTACTCAGAAGTACAGAGAGCCGGTGTAAAGACGAATAATACCCCCCCTAATAAAGACCGGGGGAAAAATTTTGACGCGAAAAATACCCCCGGGATTATTGAGAAAAAATGACCCTTTTGCCCGTAGAAAAATGTCACTTCCCTAAAAATTTGCAGAACCCACGTGAAGAAAAATGACCCCCCTAGAAAAATGACCCCCTGCAGATTAAAGCTAAAATTTTTAGGGGGCAAAAAAAAAATTGGATAAAGAAGCATATTGGCCAAAATGCTTACCTTAGCTTATTGGGAAAAAATGATGATATGTTGATCTAATAACATTATACAATTATAGCTATATTTTAAGGTAAATCTAATGATTAGAATCTAAAGGAGTAAAAGATTTATCAAGCCTTAAGGGTTAGGTAAACATTGTTTTTTGATGGTGGAAATCATCGAACTGACAGAAAAAATCAGCAGTATTATATATTATTATATCATCCGCTTGAAAAGCGGGAGGGTATATAGTGATTGGGATGTCAGTCCGTCCGTCTGTTACGCTTTGAGGTATCCATCTCTTATCCGCAAATCCTCATATATAAAAAGATGTGTTTGTGAAACAGCTATGCCCCTGTATGGCATCATAGCGAAGATTAAACTTTTCTTAAATGCAATTTAAATATATTGTTACCCAAAGTAGGGTCTTCTCACATGAAATACAACTGCAAAATAGGAAAGCCCTAGCACCACTTGTTCAAAAGTAATGGCTAAGGATAAGTTTTTGAAAGGTAGGTCAAATCAAAAGGGAAATTATGATTTCTTAAGAAAATGTTTAATGTAACAAGGATTACATATGTGAAGCATGAATACCCTAGCCCTTACCGTTCAAAAGTTATGGCCAAGGTAAAAAAAAAATATAATTACGGAAAACTCCAAGGTCAAAGTCAAAAGGTCAAGGTTTTTAGTATCCAATGAAAGGTAATGCCAACAAACTACATATTTAAAGTATGAGAGTACTAGTATCTACGGTTTAAAAGTTATGGCCAAAGTAAAAAATTGGCATTTTTGTGTAAAATGGGATAAACTCCAAGGTAAAGGTCAAAAGGTCAAATTTGGGGGTCCCAAAGTAAAGGGCTTGTCACAAGGAATAGACATATTAAATATGAAAGTCATAGCTCCAATAAATGAAAAGTTATGGTCAAGGTTAAGGTTTTTGCGGACAAACAAACCGCCAGATAGACAGACGGACATAAACCAACACGATAAAAAAATTCCCCCAATCTTCGACTACGGGGACATAAAAAAAAATGGTCTTAATTAACTTTTCATATTAATATACATTATAAAGAAGACGTTACAACAATGAAAATGTTTGTTCTGATTTTCATATTAAATTCTCTGAAAAATATACTCGAAATGAGTAAAATAT